AGTTAAAGCATACACAAATGACCCAAAGCAACACAAAATAAATATTAAGCAGGAATTTGGAAATCAAAATATGACTGTCTCTTCTTTTTCCAGTGAAATGTATTTTAATGGAGCTTGAGTGTTTGCTTTACATAAATGGTTATGCTGTTGCCTTAGAACATGGGCAGTAATGGAAGAAAAGTGTATTAATAAATGCATTTTGAGTGTACCATAGTGCTGACAATAAGATCCTGACACTGAGGCTTTCCAGAAAGAAGTATTTCACTGTGGAAAGGATTTGTAGGGGAATATGCATATATTTTACTTTTGAATAGGAAGATAATTAGGATTAATCTCAGAAACTATTGCACAAACATGCAGCCAAACATTAAATAATTAGGGAATGCAGGAAGGGATTTTAGCTAAGCAAGAAACAAGATGTTTTGATTCTTTTCCTTCAGAATGGGTTTGCAAAGACTGTTAGTAGGTGTTCTTTATTAATCGTTTTCTTTCTTTACTCTAATTTTTTTGCTACCTAAGGGGTCCAAACTTGCTTACTATCTTCAATTCAAATATATGAGCAAAAATGAGAAGCAATAAAACTGCAGATTTGCCTGCTGCAGAAGATTCAGGATGCTCCTCAATATCTAATGAGTAATGGGCTGTTCAGAGGGGCAGAGGGAGGCCAAGGGCTGCACGGCTGAGGACTTCACACTGCACAGGATTGAAGTTGCAGCTTAAATTTGGTGTGCAGCACTGGATTAAATATTACTTTCTATATGTTGAATATGTTATATGTATATGTTATATAAACAAAGCCATACTTCATTCTCCTCATGACACAATGCATAAACAGAAAACAAATCCCCAGAACAGTGCTTTGGCAAAGGACTGAGTTTTTAAAATATACCCTTCTAATTTTAAAGTATGGCAACAAATATTAGGATCTTTGCAAATGTTAAGACTACCACAGTATTTCACATAAGCAATAAAAAAAAATATTATTAGCCCATCACAAATATTAATTATTTAAATGGGTTTATTTTTATGTAGTCAATGAGAAAATATTTGGAACTCCTCAAACCGTATTTTATAAATATAGTATAATGTCAGGTACTCTCTTCAGTATTTCTAATTATACTTATTAAATAAATCTTAGTATTTTCTAAAGTTTTCATTTAAATTGAAAGATTATGATCTATTAGGGTGATATACACAGCTCCAGAAAGCTATTGCACTGATAAATGGGGGGGGGAACTCCAAGACAGAGGATAACTCAGGCAAAAACAAACAATTTAGGTGCCAGACTGCCCAGTGGACTGAGCATACTATTCGTTGGTATCCTTGGAAAAGCTTTGTGAGTTTTGCCAATAGTTACTGCAGGATACATTTCCAATGAAACCTCCACCCATCTGCCATTAGACACCTGGGAACGCAGGTTGTAATGGTAGCACAGCTTAGTGTGTGCACCACCTTTTATCCAGGAACACAGACACAGAATATGAACTGGTCCATGATGCCATGAAATGGTAGAATCATAGAATACCTTGAGTTTGAAGGGACCCATAAGGATCTGAGTCCAACTTCCTGCTCCTTGCAGGACCATATGGATATGGGAGTTTAATAATATTGAAATAGTGGGTGTTCAGTAGGGTTAGTCCAGGCAAATGTGCAATAGTAAGCAACAGTAAAATACAAAAGAAATGTTCATTATTTGAACAGGCTCTATTGCAAGACAGCCTTTGACATCCTTGACTTTAAGGCTGTTGCCTGTCTACCTCCTTACTGCTCATACTACTTTCTTCCACTGCACTTTGCTAGAAAATCTTCCATTTTCTTTTCATCCTAACTTTTTCTTTTATGGCTAACATTTACTAGTAATAGTGATCTAAGAAAGCCCTCTGAGTTCAGATCAGGGCTTTCCCCTTTTTCCCTTCTTCAGCTAGGTACCTATTTCAAACATCACTTTTATGCTTTATGCTTTTATGTCAAACGTAAAGTCATACACATGGAAAAATAAAAATAGACTTTTTTCCCTTACTGTGGGATAAGTTGCCTTTGTCCAGATTTTTGTTATAATTTCTTCTCATATAAACCAGAGATGAAATCACAAAGGTTTTTCGTGGTATTCAAGTCTTTTGTGTGCAATGCACAGAACCTGATAATTTTACCTGGTAATTTTACTGTTACAGATAGAGAGTTTTCTAGCACTAAGTTGCATGAACACACAAATAATTTGAAATTCAAGAGATATTTCTCATTTAAAAGTACTCTTACAGCTCAAGGGAAAATTACTTACTATTACAAAAGTCATCACTAATATTTGCTTATTATAACCTTGCCCAAAGATTATTTGTGCACCATGCCTAAAGGAAACCATGGCACCCCTGGGGTATGATTGTCTCTGAACAATGACACTGTTGATGTCATTCACTGGTACTTTCCTCGCGGCATCACTGGAGGATGTCTGGTGCTCTTGCATCATACTCTTTTCAGGATTAAGGTTTCAATTAAAACTTTGAGTCATATCAGCCCCAATGGTAAAACCCACTGTGCAGTCATTAGTAGCAGTTCCATTCAACACCACTCCTGATTTCAGCGAAATACATATGAAAGGTGAAGAAATTCTCTTAGTAGAAAGCAATAATTCAGACGCAGGAGATAATAAGTGAGTATCTCCTGTGTGTATGTTACTGAGAACGCAGCTGCGTTGGGCAGGGCACGTCTCCAGGATGAAGGACCACCGCCTCCCTAAGATCCTGCTTTATGGTGAACTTGCCACTGGCTGCCGCAAGAGAGGAGCCCCGAAGAAAAGATACAAGGACTCCCTGAAACAACATCTCAGCCTTGGCCATATTGATCACCATAACTGGTCTACTCTGGCCTGTAATCGGGAGGTCTGGAGACAGACCATCTATAACGCTGCTGATGCTTTTGAGAAAGCACGCAGGATCACCCTTGAGGAGAAAAGACAATGCAGAAAGAATCGTGCCTTGCAGAATATACCATCTAAGGAGTCTTTCTGCTGTGCCTTTTGCAACTGGACATGCCTTTCTCGTATTGACCTTTTTAGCCACCAACGCGCTTGCAACAAACGTGGGTAGAGCCCTTCCCAAATCTTCATTCACGAAGCCTAGCCATGATCTCCTGTGTATAAAAAATAATATGCAGGAAGGTTTAAAATCAGAAGTTATTGAAAGTTCTGAGAGAACTACAAATAGAAAAGTCAGTATAAATATCTGAGCCATTAGGAGCAACTGGATCAAAGGAACATCCTTCCCCTAATTTAATCCTCTTTTACATCAGAGAATTGAATCATGTTACCCTTTCCAAAAAGTGAACAGTGATTGCCTAAAATGAGGTAGCAACCTTCTTCCACATTCACAGGAAAACTATCCTGGGGAAGTTTTTTTTGCATAAGCATGAGATACTTCTTTAAGTTTCTGAAAATTTTAAGATCAAATCACCACAAACAAATCCCTACATTAATCTTGAGTTTTGAAAAATATATAAGATTTTTCTGTGATAAATTAAAAACTTCAAACTTATATGGGTTGATGGGAAAATGGAGAAAAAACTGGTGTATTCATAAAGGCCTGCAAATGACTTATAATGTTCTGCAATAATAATAGAAAGTCCACATACTGCCACATAAGCACATGCCCACTGAAGTAAAACAGGAAAAAAAGCAAAAAAATTGTATCTCTTTTGCACTTATTTGAATTAATTAGAGAAGCTTTGGCCCAGATAACACTGGTGTACGTTGCATGTTAGGGATGAGATGGCAACTGGAAGAGTGAACTCCTGCTAAGAACCAAAGACAGAACAACAGGTACCTCCTGTGCGCACAGATGACGGACTACGCAAAATCTCATCGCCCACAAAAAGGTGAGTTCTCAGGATAGCAGCAGTAGTTTCACACTCACACTGATTCTTCAGTTGCATGGAGTGGTACTGATAAAAGGACTGTTTGGGTGGGATTCATCTCTCCCAGCTTTACACACTTACATTTACATTTGAGGGTTCTCCAACTGAGAAAGAGAGAAGTACTTCTGGGCTATAGTTCATCCCGTTTAAAGTCTTACTCAGAATATGTCAGGTCAGTCCTGACTGAGAAGTGCCTGTTTTATTCCACTGAACAAAAAAGGAGCTTAAGACGACCAGCTGAGTGGATGTCTATGGTTAGGTGAATTAATCCCTCTTTCTTTTCTCTTTCACTTTAAATGACACATCCAAACTCATCTGCAAGCCTATGTGGATATGTAATTGCTCAAGGAAATTGCTCAAGGAAAAAAGTCTGCTGTTCCATCCTTTAAACCTATTTCTAATATCTGTACTCTGTACCAAGCATGTTTATTATTTCATCCAGATCCCCCCATTCATGTTTGGTCAGTATCTTCTGAAAAGCACTCTGAAGTCTTATATGAGTGAGAGTGATGTGACTAGGAATCATAAAAAGCAATTACCCATGTCCAGTGTCTTACAGGATAGCAGAGAAAGGGACTGCTGGCAAAAGCATTTTAAAGAAACAGTTACTTCTTATGTACAGCATAAAAATTGTAAGGTCGCAATGCAGCATGGCCCTCACAAAAACAGTTCAGGATTAACTGTGCTGATCCAAAATATAATTGAAATACAGGTTAAAATAGCAAAACAGAAAATAAAACCCTATTTCTTGTTTCCCCAATATCATTACTGACCATAGAGTACAGCGATCTTGAAGTCATAAACATTCATGTGCGTCACTTAGAGGAATATTTTCCAATCTATTTATAACTCGATTTCTGACTTGGACATGGTTCCTATCTGTCGGTCAATATATAAGCATCTGCCCTATGCCAGCAAACTAATGAGTTCATTTTTACCATGAAGTCAGGAGCCATCTTTCTACATGTCATGTCTTGTACACATCACACTGACACTGCCTCTAAGAGTATAGGCAGTAAAAAAGCACATTTCAATAGTAAATAAAGATTTTTTTTTTAAATACTACATAGAAAACTTAACTCATTAGTACTCACCACCAAGGCTTTAGACCTGTTACTTAGAAGTTTTTCAATGTCTCTGGCTGCAATTTCCACTAGCTGACGAGGGTTGTTTGCCTCTACATCATACAAAGCTTTGTTATCCTTATAAATCTGCAAGAGGAAAAAATGGAAATTAATCAAAATGACACTAGATATTCAAAATAAACCAATTGACTTGACAGAAGAGGCATCAAGATGTCCTCTGTCTTACTAGACAGCTTCAGGAAGACTACTGCTAGGAAATTCCGAATGGGCCTTGTGAAAAAAATACTTCACCTTTTTGTTTGAGAAGTAGAAGCTGCCACTAAAAATTATTTAATAAATCTTCACAACTGACTGGCTTTAGTGATAAACTATCAAACTGCTAAATGTTCAAGGAATCTGATTCCCGTGGATTGCTAAGAAAGCAGTAAAATGGAAATCCTTTAAAATGACTGAATTTGAAATAAAATAGTTACTGCTGAATTTAATTCTTCCTTGAATGCTGAACAACAAATACCAATAGAAACAAATCATTTAAGTTATGCTAATGTAATCAGTTTAGTCTCTTATCTATTTATTCATATGATAGTGTTAGTATTCATGAGGAAAGAGGAAGAGGAGCAAATAAGAAAAGAGGAACAAAGGGAAAAGTAAAACAAAAGGGGAAATGGGGAAAAAATTAAAAGGGAAAAAAGATGGGGGTGGGAAGGAGGGCACAGAACTATAAATGTTTTTCTCCTCTATCATGAATAAAGGTTATCTCTGAGGACCCATTAACTGTTTTCCAAAGCAGAACATGTATATGAAGGAGATAATTTGATTTGTTAAACAAAGCCACTATAATGAATTGCATGTAACCACAAGAACTAAAGAAGAAAAAAGAAGTAAAAAATGCATTTACCAATCTCCATTGTACTAAACCTGGAAAAAGAAAAAATACATTATTTGGGGGAGGAAAAAAAAGAAGGGTGGATACCTTATGGCTAGATGGGCGAATGGAGAAAACTAATTTATGCAGCCAACAGATGGCCTGAGTTTACTCAAGTACTTTGCCTCTCCGTAATGCTGCCTGGTGGGGGCTGTGCTGTCTCCCGGGGAGTAATTCCAGGCACAAGCAGGAACGGTTCCAGCACTAATGCACTGGCTGCCATCCAGTAAAGGAGCCAAAAAACTGCCGACCAGACTGAGTCTACCAGCCCCGCCAGGTTTCTTGGGTTAAAGCTATGGAGACCTTAAAGAAACTCACCAAAATATGTCCCTTCTGGTGCTTGTAGCTGATAAGTATCACAAAAACTTTTCTGACAACTACAGTTATAGCTGCAAATTTTTATCGGGCATGTCCCGTAAGCTGTCATCGGTTTTCATCACTTATGAATTTTACAACACTTATGTTGGGGTTTTGTTGTTTTTTTTTTCCTTCAGAAGTACAGTCTTTCCACCAGTAACTGAGTAACTGGAATAAGATTTAATTCCTCATACAGTAGCAATCATTTTAAAAAATCAGTGCATGGGGAGCAGAAAACTACTATAAAAGAAGAAAGTTTCTAATGAATTCAGATTATAGCTTGGATACTTTTGAGATGTTTGATTTTCAAAATAGCAACACAGAAAGTTTATCACAGGTAAAACCCCACAATCTCTTTTTTGGGGGTTTGTGGCTTTTGGGGGTTTGATTTGGTGTTTTTGTTTTGTTTGCTGTGTTTGGGGGGGGTTTTAGGACAGGTCTTAATAGTTGAAGTGGTCTATAAGCCAACTATTAAACAAAAAAAATTGGAAATAAAGACATTTTATCCTACAACTGATCACTACAGAATGTCTTTAATTTTTCTCTGAAACACATTAAATTTGCAGTCAGCAGTGTCATTTGGAGTTAAATTGACTGTAGTGACAAAGAGCCCTACAGTCCTACAGGCAAGGCAAGAGTAAAAATCAGTTTTATACATCCAGATGGTTTGAATCAAGACTGTAAATTTCAGAAGAGCATCTAAATTGGAATGACCATCAAATCTCATAAAATTCTCAGGTTTTCCCTTCATCAGCAAATATTCACCCTGGTCACACAAGGAACAACGCTATGGGTGTCACCAGCTGTTCAAGTCTTAGTTTTTGAAGAGAAATGTAATGCCAAATTCTTTGAACTTCATTTGTGACTTCCTGAAGTACACCTGCATCCAAAGTTTACTAAATATATAGAAGAATGGTGACAAGGTTTTGTAAATAGGCTTTCACTCAACAGTGAAAGCAGTAAGAAAAGTTCAGTATAAATTCTTTTCATTCAGAGCTTCAATTAGACAGAAACATCTTAAAATTTGGAGAAAGCAGTAGTTTATTGTAAAAATGTCATTTCATAGTAATTAATTTTTTCACTCAACATTATAAACAAACATCAAGAGAGCCACAAGAAAAAAAAATTCACAGTAGAGGCACAGTGAAATATGGGCTCAAGTAATGCGGGTTTGGAGCAGATAGATGATAGAGATGACTTGGAGACTGCACTGACCAGCTATACAAGGGCAAGTGCTGTAGTGCTGGTTCTTTGATCTTTAAGAACTTAGTGAAATACAGCTTCTAACAGGCTGTGATCTAACAGCTTCAGAGGAAGTTAAGATGATAACATATTGCATCCACACAACCATAACTTTGGACCCCACCAACTAGAAAGACAGTATGAATTGTCTATTTGACTTAATCACAGAATTACAGAATGACCTGGGTTGGAAGGGACCTTAATGATCACCTAGTTTCAACTCCCTGCCATGGACAGGGACACCTTTCACTAGGACCAGGTTGCTCAGAGCCCCATTGAACCTGGTCTTTAACACATCCAGGGATGAGGTATCCAGAATTTCCCTGGGCAGCCTGTGCCATTGTCTCACCACCCTCACAGTAAAAAATTTCTTCCTAAGACCCAGTCTAAACCTACCAGTCGTCATTTTAAAGCCATTCCCCCTTGTCTTGTCACTACATGCCCTCTTAAAAAGTCCCTCTCCAACTCTCCTGTTTTAGGTACTGGAAGGCCACAATAAGATCTGCTCCAGGTTGAGCAGATTTCCAGGTTGAACAACCTTAACTCTCTCAGTATTTCCTCATAGGAGAGATGTTTCATCTAATCATCTTTGATGGAATCTAAGATCATCTCTTAGATGATCATCTTTGTGGCCTCTCTAATCATCTTCCTGGCCTCCTCTGGACTCACTCCAACACTTTTATGTTCTTCCTGTGCTGTGCTCCATGTAGAGTACAGTTACATTAAGCCATATTGGTAAGGGATTAAGAACCCAGATGGAAAGTTTGCACTTTCATCCCTGAATCTAATTCGCTCTTCCAGCGAACATATTATCCTATAAACCCCAATTTGAAAGCACTCAAATTTTTCACATACCTCATTCCTATAGGAAAGTTATTTCCATATCTCCAAGCTTTAATGGTTTGAAAGCTGCAGACTATCCAAGTTTTGTACAGTGGGCAGATTTGTAGGAAAAAAATAAACATGTTCATTTTTCTTCTCCAGCACCAGCTATCAAAAAGTTCAAGAGCCTGAATCACATAACAAGCACATCACCACCAAATGAGACAGGCACTGTGGGTCCTACCACCAAGAAGGCCTGACTGTGAGACTAGCTTCACAAGCTGCTATTTGTCAATGATTTCAAAAAAATAAAATTCAGAACAACCCCACCCAAAGAAAACCCTTTTGAGATTTGCACAAGATCCCACATAAAGCTGAGTCAGTGACTCTCCTTTTCCTCCTCTTTGCTTTAACCCATGGCAGGGCTTGGAGAACCAATCTCCCCTGCTTCTCCTGCCAATGGAAGATTTATACCACAAGCTTCTAAACAAATGGCATAAGAAATTACTCAGAACTTCACACACTTCCTATTTTCCTGGAGTGTAAGACCTGTCTCAACTACCAAGCAACAGTCTAAGAAATATTCACTGATTATTTAAAAGGTGTGTGCGTAACTTATTTGTTGCCTACTACCCTTTAATTTGCCGTAATACTGCAGCAGTTCAGCACAACACTACACAGGGCAATGATAGACATTCAGGATTTGGCACACTGGGACAAAATTTTCTTTCTCCAAACCTCCCATCTAGCAGTCAAACACAATTAGCAAAAGCTCATCTCAAATAGCCATAAAGGGTCTTATTGGCAAAGGTGTGCTCATTCATCTTTCAAAATGCAATTTGGCAGGCTCCATGGCTTGTTAAGAGCTAATTTGAATACAATTTATTAAATTGCTTTGACGGAGTGAATGCAAGTTTCTGTTGGCTTTTACATTTAAAATAATTTTTAGTACTTTAATCACTAACGCTTTGCTAAAAGCTCTGCAAATTGTCAGTAAAACCCTATCACTTCTTGCAGATAAAAATCTCATTGCATGACTAAGTAAAACCTGTAAGGTCATTACACAAAAACACTTTATTTTTTTTCTGAAGTCAATAGCCATGTACTTCTTTATTCAGGAAAGACTGTATTAAAATTGTACATAATGAACTGCAAGGTTTTAGGGGAGAGAACATGATGGGGAGAGTCGCATTTAGTGAAAAAACACAACAATAGTTGAATGTGGCAAAGATTAGAAAAACTGCCAGCACCTCAGCAGAATGTGCCCCCCTCTGTTCAGTCTTCAAGGACATGTTTATAAATCTTTCACAAAGAGACATTCTCCTTGCTTCCTGTAAGGCTCACAAGGGCAAGTCAAACAGTTCTGTAAAAATTGAGAGAGCATGAAAGATGTCATTACATGACTCTTGCTATAAAGTGGCAGGCCTTGGAGCTGGCTTTAGCATTGAAAATTTATTTAAATAGCACTCATGCTCTATCACACTCAGGAAAAGAATTATTCTCAACTACAGTAGAATTGCTTTGCCTGTTGTTTGTTTGTTTGTTTTCAAAATGTCAGTCTCGCAGTTTAAGAAACAATGGAACCTTTTCTTCAGGCAGTTGTAACCTGGCTGAGAGCCCAAACATGGGACATGAACAAGCCAATCTCCTTTCCATCACCGAATACTTTCATGGATGTAGAAGCCATACAAGCCAAGATCTCCAAAAGTTAGCCAAAACTCACTGTTACTTTTCCTACCTTGATATATGCTTTGGAAAAGAGAAACAAAATAGCTCAACA